ACAGGCGCCCGCCACAACGCCTGGCCATTTTTTGGTTGCAGCCGTCATTGTTGTTTGGCGGGTCCGGGCTGGGGACTCGAACCCGCCACCTTAGGTGTACGTGGCTGGCGCCTTAGCCGGTTGAGCTATAGGCGCCGAGCCGCCAACACCTTTTTTTAAGTGTTTACTTTTACATATAAGCTTGCTTCTATTGTTCATTTTATTTGAAATTGATTTTTTCATTTAGTTTTTCATAGGGCTTAAATTTAGGTGTTTAAAAATTACTCATTGAAGTCATGCTATAGACCTTTGAAGTACAGATTACATTGAAAATGTTGCTGTTAGAAATAATAGAATAATTAAGATTTTAGAAAAATAATAGAACAAAAGAGTAAGATATATCAAAAATCATCTGCTCTTTGCATTTCTTTCCAGTCCCTGCCTTGTATATTGTGATTAAATGCCTTCAAGCAGTTAATTTACCTGTTATTTGCTTCTTCTGTTAAAATATAGTAAGGTTTTGGGCAGTGCCTGTGGCTCAGTGGGTAGGACGCCGGCCCCATATACCGAGGGTGGCAGGTTCAAACCTGGCCCTGGCCAAACTGGAACAACAAAAAAATAGCCAGATGTTGTGGTGGGCGCCTGTGGTCCCAGCTACTCGGGAGGCTGAGGCAAGAGAATCACCTAAGTCCAGGAGTTGGAACTTGCTGTGAGCTGTGTGACACCATGGCACTCTATCAAGGGCGATAAAGGGAGACTCTGTCTCTACAAAAAAAATATATATATACATATATATGTAGAGAGAGAGAGTAAAGTTTTATTCTCTATAACTCTCAAAATTGCTTTTTTCCCTCTAGTACTATTCCACTTCACTTTGTTTATAGTAACAGTGCCAATGTTGACTTTTCTTTTTTTTTGTCTTTTTTGTTTTGAGGCGGAGTCTCAAGCTCAGGCTGTGGCCCTGGGTAGAGTGCCATGGCAAGATGATAAGTTACAGCAACCTCCAACCCTTGGGCTCAAGCAATCCTTTTACCTCAGTTTTTTTCTATTTTTAGTATAGACGAGGTCTCACTCTTGCTCAGGCTGGTCTCAAACTCATGAGCTCAAGCAGTCTGCCCTCCTCAGCCTCCCAGAATGCTAGGATTACAGGCGTGAGCCACTGCATTCAGCCGACTTTTCTGCCTTTAAAAAAATATTTAAAAATTACATTGGTTGAGTGTGATGGCTCACTCTTGTAATACCAGCACTTGGGGAAGCCAAGTCAGGAGGATCACTTGAGCCCAGGAGTTAGAGACCAGCCCAGGCAATGTAGTTAGATCCATCTATACAAAAATTAAAAAAAATTAGCATGCAGTGTCACATGCCTACTGATGTAGCTACTTGGGAGGCTGATGCATCAGGATCACTTGAGCATAGGAGTTTGAGGATTTAGTGAGCTGTGATCACACCATTTGTACTCCAGCCTGAGCAACAGAGCAAGACTCTATCCCCCCTTCTTCCCTCCCATATAAAACAGAGGAAAATTCAACTTTATTTTTTTGGTATAGCTGTTGGGTTTTGACAGATGCACAGAATCATGTAACTACAGCACAATCAAGATACAGAACAGTCCATTATCCCTCAAAACTCAGTATTGCCCCTTTTTAGTCAACCTTGCCTGACAGCCACTGATCTAGTCTCTGTTCTGATCATTTTTTCTTTTTCCTGCATGTTACATTAGTGGAACCACACAATATAGTATATATAGTGGTCATCATCTTTTTTTGTTTGTTTCCTCTAAACATCATGCCCTAAGAATATATAGGGTTTTGCATTAGGCCTTCTTAGCAGAAAACATTTGAGATTCTTCTATGTCATTAGGTTTATTTCTTTTAAATGCTTTTTTATGGATATACCACAGTTGGTTTAACCATTCATCAGTTAAAGGATGTTGGACTGTTTCCAGTTTGGCAGTTAAGAATAAAACTGCTGTCATATATGTGTTCAGGTTTCTTGTGAACTTAAGTTTTCCCTTCTCTTGGAGAAATAACCTAAGAATGGGATATGCTTGATAAGTTTGATATGGTAAGTTTACCTTTTTTTTTTTTGAGACAGAGCTTCACTATGTCACCTTCAGTAGAATGCCGTGGTGTCACAGCTCCCAGTGACCTCCAACTCTTGGGCTTAAGTGATTTTCTTGCCTCAGCCTCCCAAGTAGCTGGGACTATAGGTGCCCACCACAACGTCCAGCTATTTTTTGTTGCTTTTGTCATTGTTGTTTAGCTGGCACAGGCTGGGTTCGAACCCACCAGCTTCGGTGTATGTGGCGGTGCCACAACCACTGTGCTATGGGCGCCAAGCCATACCTATTGTTTTTGCCATGTCATTTTGTATCTTCTGGTTACCTCTATGGTATCTTTCCATTTTGTTTTAGATCACATCAGAGGTTGTCTGTTCCTCACTCCTCATGAGGTTCCTTTACTTCTTATAGGAAAATTTTAGGGCTAGGAGAAAGACCTTAGGGATCATTTTGTTGAGGAGTTGGCAAATGACAACCCAACAGCCAATTTGACTGTCACCTATTTTTGTACTACAGAGAGCTAAGAATAGTGTTTACATTTATAAGGGGTTTTAAAAACAATATACAATAGAAACTGTACATGATCTGCAAAGCCTAAAATATTTACTTGCTGGCCCTTTACCAGAAAAGTTTGCTTCCTGATGTAGTATTAACTCCCTCATATTATAGACCAGGTAATATTTAAGGAGGTTATAAAATAGATTTTTTTTCCCATTCCAGAATTCTTTCCCTCTCTCTTTCACATGTTCCTTATATTTAAGACAGATAGTATAACCTCATTTGGGGTTTTTAGTCTGAGAAAGATATTAGAGATTTAGGAATATACTACTCATTTTTTTTTTAAGACAGAGTTTCATCGTGTCGCCTAGTACAGTGGTACAGTGTTGTGGTGTCACAGCTCACAGCAACCTCCAACTCTTGGGATTAAGCAATTCTCTTGCCTCAGCCTCCCAAGTAGCTGGGACTACAGGCACCCGCCACAAACCCAGCTATTTTTGGTTATTTTTGCAGTTATCATTGTTGTTTGGCTGACCCAGGCCAGGTTTGAACCCATCAGCCTTGGTGTATGTGGCCAGTGCCCTACCCACTGAGCTACAGGTGCTGCCCAGGAGTATACTAATAAATGAGCCATCGAAAAATTAAATAATAGGACTTAAAGATGCCAAGGAAATGGAGTGGTAAGAATAACCTACTAAGATTAATTTACCTGCCTAGAAATTGGCAGCACCTTCACTCAAACCTAGATATATTTGACCCTCAATCTCAAGGGAGGACTCCCACTGTGTGGAGCGCAGTGAAGATCATCACTATGCTAAATACCAGGAATAGAAATGCGAACACTTCGACCCACTGTATCCTGGGCTGCACTTTTATCAATTGCCTGAGACAGAACACACGTATAACAAGCAGATTTACTTACACATAGACAGCAAGGGAAAATGGAAGCCTACATCCATTGTGAGCCCCCGTGAGGCTCAAGAAAGCTGCTTGGAGCAGATGGATTCTCAACTGTGTGTCTCATTTGCACCACAGCTGAGGAATGCCAAACAGCATTGTGCCCTAGGTTTTATATCCTGTAGTATGTGACTCGCTAGGCAAAGCTTTTAGGGACATTATGTTTCTAACCAGATAATGGAACAGAGCACAGGCTGTACTATCTCAGGATGTTATATTCCCTGCACATTCTGCAGTTATTCTAAAAACTAAAGGCAAAAAGAAAAGGGGAGGAACTGGGTCAGTTAGCCCAAGGCCATTTGGGAACCATCCAGTACTAACCTTCCATATCACTTGTTAGCTGGGAGAATTAAGTTAGTGTTAATATTGCTCAAAATGAAAAGTAGAAGACCAGGTGCGGTGGCTTACATAATCCTAGCACTCTGGGAGGTTGAAGTGGGTGGACTGCTTGAAGTCAGACTTTCAAGACCAGCCTGAGCAAGAGTAAGACCCCTGTCTCTAAAAATAGCTGGGTGTTGTGGCAGGTGCCTGTAGTCCTAGCTACTTGGGAGACTGAGGCAAGAGAATCACTTGAGCCCAAGAGTTTGAGGTTGCTGTGAGCTATGATGCCATGGCACTCTACCGAGAGTGACAAAATAGAACTCTGTCTCAAAAAATATATATATAATAATAATAATAATGAAAAGTAGAACAGATGAGCAACACCAGAATATAGTAGAAAGACTACAAACTGTAGAGTAATAGTTGGTTTTAGATTCATGTCTGGCACTTACAAGCTATATACCTTGGGCAAATTATCTTTGTCAGCTTCATGTCTTTACATATAAAGTAAAAACAAAAATATCCATCTTGTTGAAAGAAGAAATAAGACAGGATGTGAAAGCTAAAACACCTGACCAAATATCTAGCATATGGACTTTGGAAGTAATAATTACAATGTGTATTATTATTTGAATTATACCAAAATGAAAATACTTTCCCCTTTGGGGGGTCTTTCATTCCTAGACTCCCATGGTGACCCTCTCTGGCCACAAGGAAGCAATTTCCTCAGTTCTGTGGTCAGATGCTGAAGAGATCTGCAGTGCATCTTGGGACCACACAATTAGAGTGTGGGATGTTGAGTCTGGCAGTCTTAAGTCAACTTTGGTAAGACTTAGAAATTCAGTAGTCCTCTGATTAACTTTGATCTTTTAAGTGATAAACTTTTAGAGATGGTTTTTACTTAGTCTACCTTGGTGAGAAATTCTTTCCTTTTCTTTTACAGACAGGAAATAAAGTGTTTAACTGTATTTCCTATTCTCCACTTTGTAAACGCTTAGCATCTGGAAGTACAGATAGGCATATCAGACTGTGGGATCCCCGAACTAAAGGTGAGTTGTGTAAAGCACTAGAGAAAAAACATGTGTAGGTAACATCAGTTCCTCTTCTCACAGATATATAAAAAAAAGATAAATTTCTACAAATATATTTTGGGATTTTACCTACTTACCTTTTCTGACTGTCAAAATTTGTTATTGTTTTTCCTTTGTTCAGATGGTTCTTTGGTGTCGCTGTCCTTAACCTCACATACAGGCTGGGTGACATCAGTAAAGTGGTCTCCTACCCACGAACAGCAGCTGATTTCAGGTTCTTTAGATAACATTGTCAAGCTATGGGATACAAGAAGGTAAATCCTATGTATGATCTTCAAAAGAAAGATACCAATTATCTATAATATACAGAGAAAATGAAATAAGTAACTAAAATGATTATCTAAAACAAAAAGGGTCAAAAAAAGTTCTTGGTTATACTACCTGATGTGATAAATACTGATATCCTAAAGAGAAACCAGGATCAAAGGAATTTTCTTTTTTTTTTTTTTAGAGATAGAATCTCACTTTGTTACCCTTCGTAGAGTGCTGTGGCATCACAGCTCATAGCAACCCCCAGCTCTTGGGCTTAGGTGATTCTCTTGCCTCAGCCTCCTGAGTAGCTGGGACTACAGGCACCTACCACAACACGTGGCTATTTTTTGGTTGTTGTTGCAGTTTGGCCAGGGCCAGGTTCAAACCTGCCAACCTAGGTATATGCGGCCAGCGCCTTACTCACTGAGCCACAGGTGCCACCCAAAGGAATTTTCTTTATGATAATATGTTGAGTTTTTTTTGTATTTTGAAAGGATCTGTTTAGTGTTAATTTATCTTTTCAAAAAACAACAACAAAGTTTAAGTCCATCTTTCTGACTTTGTTATAAAACGGGAAAAATAGAGTTTAAAAGATTAAGATCCTGAACCTTAATATAAATTATGTGTTAATAGGAAGTTAAATAAAAATATCTATTTTTTTTTTTAGAGACAGAGTCTCACTTTATCACTCTCCATAGAGTGCCATGGCAGTGTCACACAGCTCATAGTAACCTCCAACACCTGGGCTTAGGTGATTTTTTTGCCTCATCCTTCCAAGTAGCTGGGACTACAGGTGCTCATCACACTGTCTGGCTAAAAAATACCTATTTTTAAAGATGTATTTCCTATTTGTAGGCTAATGGTATGATAATAGTGTACATAGAGTGCCCCGATAAAATGCATACACAAATTATTTATGTATCTCTTTACAAGTAGAACAGATGTGCACTAACCAAATATCTGTTGATGTGTTGTAGACCTTAAATCTGCCTTTAACTGTCCTTACACTAACTTACAGTTGATGACTTATTAATATCTAAAAGGCATATACATTTTAACTTTACACTTTCCATAGCAGGTAACGTACACTTTCTGATAACAGTAAGTGCTATGAAGAAAAAGCAGTGTAAAGGGACGATTCTTTGTGGGAGGGTTCCTCTATTAAAATGATATTTTAGTAGTGAATTGTGCAATGTGATGGTATGAACCATACATAGATCATGGCATGGGCAAGAGCAGACAGGTAGGAAGAACCTTGGCATGTTGGCAAAATAGCAAGAAGGCCAGTGTTGACAGAATGGAGTAAGCAAGGAGAGTGGCAGGATGTGAGGCAGGTAGTGGTTATACCAAGCAGGACCTTATAGGGCATGGTGAGGAGTATGGGTTTTGTCATAAGCATGATGGGAAGGCTTTGGTGGATTTTGAGCAAGGGACCAAGAATGGAAGGAGAGAAGCTATTGTAATTCAAGAGACAAGTAATGGTGACTTAGACTATGATGGTAGTATTCAAGATAAGTGATTGGGTTCTAGGTATACAAATATTTTCTTTTTTTTTGAGACAGAGTTTCAAGCTGTCCCCCTGGGTAGAGTGCTGTGACATCACAGCTCACAGCAACCTCCAACTCCTGGGCTCAAGCAAGTCTCTTGCCTCTGCCTCCCAAGTAGCTGGGACTACAGGCGTCCGCCACAATGCCTGGCTATTTTTTGGTTGCAGCCATCATTGTTGTTTGGTGGGCCCAGGCTGGATTTGAACCCACTAGCTCAGGTGTATATGGCTGGTGCCTTAGCCACTTGAGCCACAGGTGCCGAGCCACAAATATTTTAAAGATAGCTCTTTGGCAGGATATGGACTGAATGTGGAAATAGGAATCAAAAATAATGCACACATTTTCTGCCTGAGCAATTATGTAATTGGTGGTCACATTTATTGTGATGGGAAAGAGTAGAAAAGCAGTTTTGGGGGGAGAAATCAAGAGTATAGTTTTGGTTGTTTTAAATTTCAAGTGCCTAAAGACATCAAGCTATTAGGCAATTGGTTATTAAGCTCAGGAAGAAATTTGGGCTGGAGATAAGAACTTGGGAGTTATCACTGTATAAATGACTAGGCAAAGGGTCTAATAAAGCAGCCAGGCCTGGTGGCTCATGCCTGTCATCCTAGCACTCTAGGAGGGTGAGGTGGGTCAATTGCTTAAGCTCAGGAGTTCAAGATCAGCCTGGGCAAGAGTAGAGAACCCCTTCTCTACTAAAAATAGAAAAACTAGCTAGGCATTGTGGTGGGCACCTGTAGTCCCAGCTACTCAGGAGGCTGAGACAAAGGGAACTCTTGAACCTGGGAGTTTGAAGTTACTGTGAGCTATGATGCCATGTACTCACCCAGGGTGACGGAGTAAGACTTTTTCAAAAAAAGAGAAGGGGAACTTTCCAAAACACTTGGTGGGAGGCAGAGGAGCAGTGGCTGCCCGAGCAGTGCACAGTTAAGCGCTCCTTTCCACTGCACTGTGTGGGCTTCTGCCCTCTCACCGGCTATAGAAAATGGTGAAAGAAACCACTTAGTATGTTGTTTAAGCCCAATGCCACTCATAAAGAATTGAAGAAGGTATATAGAAAACTGGCCTTGAAGTACCACCCTGATAAGAATCCAAATGAAGGCAAGAAGTTTAAACAGATTTCTCAAGCTTATGAAGTTCTCTCTGATGCGAAGAAAAGGGAATTATATGACAAAGGAGGAGAACGGGCAATTAAAGAGGGTGGAGCAGGTGGTGGTTTTGGTTTCCCCATGGACATCTTTGATATGTTTTTTGGAGGAGGAGGAAGGATGCAGAGAGAAAGGAGAGGTAAAAATATCGTACATCAGCTCTTGGTTACCTTAGAAGATTTATATGATGGTGCCACAAGAACACTGGCTCTGCCCAAGAATGTGATTTGCGACAAATGGGAAGGCCGAGGTGGCAAAAAGTAGAGTGCTGTCCCAATTGCTGAGGTACTGGAATGCAAATAAGAATTCATCAGTTAGGACCTAGAATGGTTCAGCAAATTCAGTCTGTGTGCATGGAATGCCAGGGCCATGGAGAACAGATCAGTCCTAAAGATAGATGTAAAAACTGCAATGGGGGCAGCGCCTGTGGCTCAAAGGAGTAGGGCACTGGCCCCATATGCCAGAGGTGGCAGGTTCAAACCCAGCCCTGGCCAAAAACTGCAAATAAAAAATAAATAAAAGTAAGAATATAAATGGATTTGGATTCTATTTCTTATTTTAAAAAAAAAGCTGCAATGGAAGGAAGATAGTTTGGGAGAAGACGACTCTGGAAGTTCATATTGACAAAGGCATGAAAGATGGCCAGAAGATAATATTCCATGGTGAAGGAGACCAAGAACCAGGATTGGAGCCAGGAGATATTATCATTGTGTTAGATCAGAATGACCATGCTGTTTTTACTTGATGAGAAGAAGATCTTTGCATGGACATACAGCTTTGAAGCATTGTGTGGCTTCCAAAAGCCAATATCTACTCTTGACAACCAAAGTGTAGTCATCACCTCTCATCCAGGTCAGATTGTCAAGCATGGAGATACCAAATGTGTGCTAAATGAAGGCATGCCAATTTATTGTAGACCATATGAAAAGGGTCCCCTAATTATCAAATAAGGTAAGCCTTCCTGAAAATGGCTTTCTTTTTCCTAATAAACTCTCATTGCTAAAAAAACTTCTACCAGAGAGGAAGGAAATGGAAGAGACTGATGAAATGGATCAAGTAGAACAGGTGGACTTTGATCCAAATCAGGAAAGATGGCACCATTACAATGGAGAAGCATGAGGATGCTGAACATCAGCCCAGAGGTGGTGTTTAGTGTCAGACCTCTTAATGGGGCCAGTGAATGACACTCATGCTGGCATTTTATGTGCAGTAATGAATGAGTGAGGGACTGTAATCATAATATGCTTACTACTTGCTATTGTTTCTGTTTAAATATTCAAATATAGTTGTGTTTTAAAGGTTAAATGAAGAATAAATGCAAATATAAAAGCTCAAAAAAAAAAAAAAAAGAAAAGAAACGGGGATATAAAACCAAGATCTGAGGAAAAAGAAAAGTAGTCAAAGAAATATGAAAATAAGCCTAATTATAAGTAAATTTTTATAATGAAATAACATTTTCCCTAAATATATTGGTTGCAATAAATTTCTGTAGTCTGCTAATGACATAGGAAAAATAGGAGAAGTGGTCAAGTAAATATTAAGAATTTTAATACTTAGGCTTGGTGCCTGTAGCTCAGTGGCTAGGGTGCCAGCTGCATGCACCAGGGCTGGCGGG